CTATTATAGGAAAACTTTCTCATGGGATAATCTTCAAAAGAGATGATATATGAGGACTGAGTATCACCAGCCCCTAAATCAGGCGGCAAAACACTGACTTCTTCAAAAGAAAGCAATTACTTATGATCTCTAAATGAACTAATTACCAGTCTCTAAAAGTTTTTAACTAGGGCTTTCTGACTGCATTCATTAAGGTTTCTAGGACAACTAGGCCAAAATACATAACCAGTATGAGTGATTAGAGTCCCAGAAAATAACTGCTATTATTACCTTAGAATAATGGGTAGAAGTGTTGCCAAGTTAGCTGCCATATAGTCTGCAATAGTCTATGCAATCATCTTCAAAGAAAAAAAATCTAAATTGTTCAGTATAACAAGGAATTCTAAAGGAACTGCCCAAAAGGAAGCCCAGATAGATTCTGATACTGAGTTTTGGGTTATCCTAATATTTCAGGCTCTGAAGAAAATGATACCATTTAATTTGGCATCATTTTCGAATAGGTATTTTGGTGCTATATGAATAAAGCTTAAAAGACAATTTCAAAGAAGGGTCACCAATTAAGAAGCCAAACCGCAAAAAAACAAGTCATAAAAAGAATTCCAAATCCACCTGTGTTATGACAGGCAAAGATCCTGGTTGACTTGTATACACCTTGGAAAACAAAAGACCTCCAAATCTTGCCGGTGGCACAGGCCTATAACCCCAACAGCTTGGGAGGCTGAGACAGGAGATCGTTGAGTTCAAAGCCAGCCTCAGCAAAAGGCAAGGCACTAAACAATTCAGTGAGACCCTGTTCTAAATAAAATACAAAATAGGACTGGGGGCTCAGTGGTTGAGTGGCCCTGAGTTCAATCCCTGGTACCAAAAAAAAGAAAAAAAAAAGACCTCCAAATCTGATAGAACAAAAACTCCATGAGAGCAGGTCTATTTCACAGGCCGATTCTCTCTGTTGAATGAATGTTGTTGCATAAATAAACCATGAAGAAATAGTTTCGCAAAAATCAAAAGTTCAAGGACAGATCCATTTCATAAAGATTTTTAACGTGTAATATTATCTTTTCCACGGATTTAAAAACATGTTCTGTTATGCCTCAAATATCCCTAAAATTATCTTTTGTTTCTCAAGAACAAAATGCACCCAATGCAGAGTAAATGGGCCCTGATCCAGATGAACCTCACAGAAGAATATTTAAAGAGAAAAAAACTGAGATGAAAAGCTATCCACATTGTGGAGTGCCAACCAGCAAAAAGCCGATCTGCACATTTGATAACAATCCTCTCCAGAACTGTCAGTTTCCTTTGGTTTCTATTTCAGTGAGGTTAGCATTTTTTGAGGCTATTGACTTAAGTTTTCCCTTTCATGTAGCTAAGAATTCTTATTTCCCTTGTCTTCTCTTATTTCTCCCAAACTTTCTCCTAACTCACCCATATAGCTTTTAACCAGAATTCCTTTTTTTAGAAAACCTTCCCCCTTCTTCTGACTCCAGACAGAAAGCATCCTGTCCCCAAACACTGGCCTTTCTGGTTTTATGGAAGCTTCATTTTCTTGCAGAAGAAGCCTAGTCTATTTCTTATAGCTAAATTCATTGTGCGCCATAAAAAAGAGAATAAAATCATTCAGGCACTGAATCACCTATCAACACGCACTTGGTCAGTTGCTCAACCCAATGTGCTTTTTCTGGTAGTGACCTTGTGTTCCCTTCATCCTTCTGGTGTCTGTATTTTCCCCAGAGAATTTTTCCCTCCCAAGTTCATAAATCCTACATCAGATGTGCTCTAAAATTTTCAGTTAGAAATTGTTTCCTAAGGCAAAACAAGATTGCGAGATGAAAGGAACTATGGCCAGAAAGGAGCTTACTTGGAATAATGTACTCTAAAGTGTTTAACTCTTTGCACATACATTATCAGAGAATGAAGAGATGAAAAAAGGGAGGAAGGCACTTTACAAATACTTCAAGAAGATTATTTCATTTGATCTTCCCACCATAGTCAAGGGCAGCTATGTATTTCTCTCATGACAAAACTAATCACCAAAAATGTTTCAGTGAGTCGGATGCGGTGGCACTCGCCTGTCATCCCTGCGATTCTGGAGGCCTAGACAGGAGGATCACAAGTTCAAAGCCAGCCTCAGCAACTTAGTGAAGCCCTAAGCAACTTAGGGAGACTCTGTCTCAAAATAAAAAATAAAAATAACTAGGGATGTGACTCAGTGGTCAAGAACCCCTGGAATTCAATCTCAGGTACAAAAAAAAAATTTTTTTTTTCAGTGATTTGCCCAACCAATGTCACATGACTAGCAAGTATCATCCCAGCATCCCAGACCTGTACTAAGGCCTTGCCTCTCCCAACCCAAAGGATGTTCACTACTATATATTCCCTCATATATTTCTATCTATGGCCAAGGAGCAATTTCCTAGAGATTCAGTATTTGAAAGAGAAGTTAGACCTCTGACCTTTGAGACATATCTCCCTTCAGCTAACAAGGTGGAAAGCCATTTTCACTCTTTCCAGAAAGCATTGCTTTTCTCTTTTACATACCACTTTTAACTACTGCTTCTTTCCCAATAATTTCCAACTATTCTTGTTTTAAAGGGACTTACTCATAAGACACTAATAGTCCAAAAAGTTTGCATCAGCATATGATTTTCTCAATAAAGTTGAGAGCTGATGCAACATTTCTTAGTCTCAAACTTTATAGCTAAAATGACAAGAACACAGAATAGTCAAAAATTACGCAAGACAATGCTACTTTTTTCTTTTTTAAACTCTACAACATCTGCCTCTATGGGTCTCCTGTGAGTCATTGTCTTTTGTGTTCAGTCATAATTACAAGAACTGCCATTTTCTACCCTAAATTATTTTGTCTTTTAAAGAAAAACTCTGCAATAAAAATGGGGAAAAAAAATTTTTCAATGCCTGGCTAAAGTACTAACTTCTATGTTAACAATTTACACAAATAGGAATAGGCAAGTAAGGTTGCAACTCATTTATTTATTCATTAAAAAGAAAAAACTCACATGTGAAATCCTATCTACATACCAGGGGCTGGGAGTCCAAAGTGAAAAAGAATTGTCCCTCTTACAGCCTGGTGGAAAAGAAAAGCAGTAATCACTGAATAAAATGATGATGTGATGGTGAGCACATAGGGCAGTGCCATCAAGAAATGCTTTCATAGGTGGGGCAGTGGCACCCGCCTATAATCCAATGACTCAGGAGGCTGAGGCAGTGGGATAGAGTTCAAAGCCAGCCTCAGCAACAACGAGGTACTAAGCAACTCAGTGAGACCCTTCTCTAAATAAAATATAAAAACAGGTTGAGGATGTGGCTCAGTGGTTGAGTGCCCCTGGGTTCAATCCTGGGTACCAAAAAAAGAAAAAAGAAAAAGAAATGCTTCCTGAAGGAAGTGGTCAATGAGCATTTACAAGCATCTCTTTATTTTTAATATAAAATAGACTTCAAAGACTCAACTCTATTGAGAGGCTATAAGATTTATTTGCCAATAGTCAAGTCAGAAATGTAATTGAAGAGCAGAATTATTACTGTGACCCTGCCCTAAATTTCAACCCTCAATACTCCCTTACACCAAGTTACAAGTTTCACAAATCCAATTGTCTATGGTGCCTGTCCACATGGCTGGAGAATAGAATTAAAGATAAGCACAATGAAATAAAATGCACTTTTTAAAAAAATTTTTTATATATTTATTTATTTATTTTTAGTTGTTGTAGTTGGAAACAATACCTTTATTTTGTTTATTTATTTTTATGTGGTGCTGGGGTTCGAACCAGGGCCTTGCACATGCTAGGTGAGTGCTCTACTGCTGAGCCACAACCCCAGCCCCAATAAAATGCACTTTTTAGAAAGATAATCATTTTTCCAAACTGGAAATGAACTCTTTGAACAATCCAAGGCCTACAAAGCATGGCTGTCGGAAGAGGAAACTGAGGTTCAAAAAAGTCCCACTTTAATACAAGAGAAATGAAAGGTCTCTTTGAACACCAGAAGAGCTTTGAACAAAAAGAGAAACAGAAGGCTATTGTGGGGCTTTAGCCTCCAGATGATGAACCTCCAAACACACTGCAATAGTAAACAACAAGCCTCTGAGCTGGAATCTGATTTGGTGGCCTGACAAAACATTACAATTTATAGAATCTGTCTCTCCCCATTCATTATTTCCCAAGGTCCCGCTGGCAGGCAACAACTCCCGAGGTTTTTTTTGCTGGTACCTGGGTTTATTGCTTGTAAATCATAATGCATAGTATGACTTTAAAAAAAAAAAAAGGCACAGGCAAATGAAAACAACCATGGCTTTAAAGCCCCATAAAAGACAGTATATGTAACAGAAATGAACAGTGCCTGGGTTTACTACGAGGATCTTACTCTTTCATGCAACTCCAGAGCATCTTAAATGCAAATGAATTCTACCATTGCCCACTGCCGAGCAGGTCCGTGGAGGGAAGGAGCACGTTCCTACACCTGCCTCCGCAGGACCCCTGACTGCTTCCCTCACCATTTCCCTGGCCAAGGCCAAGCAGCTGACCTGCACCTGGGGCTGAGGACCCCAGCCATTTTCTCTCTGCAGTCCCCTAAGTAGGCTTCAGTCCCCTGAAGTCACACTTCCATTGGGCCCGGCATACCCTCATCCCCACCACCCAGACCCCCGGCTGGAAGGAGGGAACCCAGTGGCCCCGACGAGAAGGCTGGCGGCGGGCTGAGAGGGGCCGAACGGTCCCTTCACTATTGCCCCGGGAGGCGTCCCGGGACCGGGGTCCCACCACCTCGCCTGCTCCGAGTCCTTCCCCGGACGCCGCCGGGCTCCTCCCACCCCTCGGCCCGGGCGCCGCGGTCCCCGCCCTCGGCCGCTCCGGCCTCCGCGTCCGCCTGGGCCCGGGGGCCCTGCAGACCCGCCGCCACGCCCGAGCCCTCCGGGCCAGGGCCGCCCGCCGCCCGCCGGCTCCCTCCCAGGCCCGGGGCCGCCCGCCCGCCCGGCGGCCGCGCACCGTGTGGGACTGCAGGCTCTGGCTCGCCTCGATGGCTGCTGTCAGCGGCACCGTGTCGTCCAGCAGCACCTTGCCGGCCGGCGGCTTCTCCATGAAAGCCATCCCGCGCCGCCGGGCCGCCGCCGCCGCCGCCGCCGCCTCGGGTCGCGGGGCAGGAACCAGAGGCGCCACTCCCGCCGCCCGGCCCGCCGCAGCGCCGCTGCTGTCAACACGCGCCGCCCCACGCGCCGCCGCCTCCCGCCGCGCCTGCGGGTCCTAGCGCCGACCTGTCGCGGCGCCGTCGCTGTCATCCCCGGCCACCCTACGCGCCGCCGCCAGCCGCGGGGTCCTAGCGCCGATCTTCCATTGGCCGCCGGCCTGCACTCTGTGCTGCGCGGCGCAGGACTTAGGCTCTCTTTCACCTGACAGCCGCTGTCCACCCCCTGACGACCTCTGTCGTTGCCCTGGGGTTGGGTCTCCCAGCTATTCGTAGCTGCACAGCAGACCCCGGGACACAATATCCGAAGCTAACACCACCAGGGATCCTCAGATGCAAAGATAACTCACTCTATCATGAGCCCTAGAATTCAGGACACTTCAGGCCCAGAGACATCCAAACCAAGCCTGGTAGAATTGGGCTTTTCAGATGAGACCCTCAGAAGCTGGGGCTATCCGGCTTGAGACCCTTACAACTGGGCCTCTCCCAAACTACCATACACAAGAACCACAGGACCTAGAGCCTTCAAGTGAACCCTGTCTGAACCCTGGAGATCCAGAAACTTTATAAAACAAACTGTCTGATTCAGGTTTTACAGAGACCATTGAACCTGGATCTTCAGACAGGAGAACCTTGATTATACATATTGTTTCCTCACCAGATCTCAAACTTAAAAAAAAAAAAATTGTGGGGCAACCTTAAGTAACCAAATGGCCAAAATTGATGGCTTTGGGCACCAAGACCCAGTAGAGGAATATGTGAGAAAAGAAATCATCAGGCTTCATGATTTAGCCTCAAATGAGAACTATTTCCGCATCCCAATCGTGTCTCAATGTGTTTTAAAAGCAGTTTATTGGGCTGGGGTTGTGGCTCAGTGGTGGAGCACTTGCCTAGCATGTGTGAGGCACTGGGTTCAATTCTCAGCACCACCTATAAATAAAATAAAGGTTCTTTAACAACTAAAAATTATTTTTTAAAAAAGCACTTTATTAAAGCAAAACCACATATCATTTAGGGAGGACTCAACTTTTTATTTCCATTTCTTTATTTCAAGGCAAATGGATTATTGCCAGAATCACTGAAATCAAAATCTTGCTTACCATGATGGGATTGACCAAAACAAGTCTCTGCTTACATACTGCTGGTGGGGATATAAAGTGGCCAACCTGGAAGGTATTCATTCATTCAACCATTACTTTCTGAGTATCTACCATCTAATGGGCCCAGTGGCAGGTGTTGAGATTTAATAATACATATCAAGGACTTTAAAATGTTCTCCCTCTGTGACTCAGTATTCTGTGTGTAGGAAGGTCATATTATTTAAAAAAAAAAAAATTAAGGACAAATATCTGATATCCAATAAAGGATGAGACAAATGATGGTATACTCTTAAACTTTTTGCAATTTTAAAAATCATATTGGCGGGGGTGGTGCAGCTCAGTGACAGAGTATATGCACAAGGCCCTGGGTTCAATCCCCAGCACCCTACCCTATAAATCAGATTATTGAAGAAGAATAATCAGAGAAAGTACTCTTCATATATTAAGTAAATAAAGCAATATATGCACCTGTGTGACCCCAATATATTTACAGGAAAAACACTGAAAGGAAACACACAAAAATGTTTCCTCTAGATAGCAGAATCATGAGCTCTTTACACTTCTCCATATTTTCAAAATGTCTCCGATGAAAATATTTTATTTTTATGATTAGGGTCCAGTGCTCTCACAATCCACTGGTTCTGTAAAACAAATTTCTGAGAGTAAGGCTTCTCTGAATCCAGTCAGCTGGAGTTCAGCTCCATTTGCACTATACACTGTGCAAACACCCAATCCAATGCTGCAGTTAAAAAAACCCAACTTGATCACACACAAATAATTTCAGATACCCAAAGAAACTCATTTTGCAATTTTCAAATTAGATGTTTTCCAATTTAAGATTAAATGATTGAAATGTGATACTCTGGGCAGATATTCTTGTCAAATGATGGCAATAGTGCTTTTATTCAAAGTGTTATTTCAGGACTCTGGATGCTCAGTGCAAATGGATGACAAAATGAACAAAATTCTTTTCCTCTAATACTTTTTTAGGAGGATGGAAAGTTTATTACACAAACAATGACTTCAGGGCAATCTATATTGAGTACTGGAACTAAGGTGCCAGTTACCATGGGAGAATAAAGGAGCACAGAGTAATGACAACTAGAGTAGATTGGGGGGCAGTTCATGGAAGAGATGAAGTGTGAGCAGGGTCTTTTTTTTTTTTTTTTTTTGTACCAAGGATTAAACCCAGGGGAACTTAACCACTGAGCCACATCTCCAGCCCTTTTTATATTTATTTAGAGACAGGGTGTCACTGAGTTGCTTAGGGCCTTGCTAAGATGCTGTGGCTGGCTTTGAACTCAAGATCCTTTTTGCCTCAGCCTCCAGAGTCACTGGAATTACAGGTGCGTGCCATTGTACCTAACATAAAACCGGGTCTTTAAGGAGAAAGATCATATCACTTCTTCTTTTAGCAAGCTCCTTGGTGAAAATGCATTACATGCCAGACACTGTTAGGTACAGGGGAGTTAAAGAATGAGACAGATGTCACCTGCTATCAAGCTGCTTAGCCACATAAGGAACTAAAAAAACAAAATTGGATGTGAAGTGATGAGCCAGTCCAGGGGTTTATAGTAGCTCTCAAAAGTAGCAGGGCCCTGTGAACTGGAGGAGCAGACAGTAGGCTCAGCAGGAGATGCCCAGAAGAAGGAAAGAGAAAAAGGAGACTTTCATATGCTGGAATTCTAAGCTATTATACCTTTTCCTGAGAGTGAGTTAAGAACATTCTCAAGAGAACAGATATCCCTAAGTTTGGGGGGAACCATTATGAGATTTCAGGGGCCGCTAATACGCACTTCTTACCTGGGCAGTGCTGTTTCAAAGAGGGAAGCAAGAGGGAGGAGGAGACTGGTATGGGAGTACAGGAGGTAGAGAGGTGGGAAGAGTTTTGCCATGAGAGGAAAAAAAGTCATAATGTTAGATTGGATAACTAGATAAAAGCCAGGCATAGTGCACGTTTGTAATCCCAGCTATTCAGGAGGCTGGAATCACATATTTGAGGTCAGCCTGACGATTTAGGGAAATGCTATCTCAAAGTGAAGAGCACCACTGGGTTCAATCCCCAGTTTTGCACAAACAAAACCCAAAACAAAACAAGAGCCAGGCAAAAAGCTGATTTCTTAAACCTGAGGAGGAAATTACAGATTCCAATTCTGAAGCTACTCCTTGGGTCACACTGCTCCACAGTTTACTGGCAGCCTGATGACTTTGCTTCAGTTCTCCACACCTGTGGAGTGCAGATGAGGACAGGCTCCGCCCCAAAGGATTACTGAGTGGACTGAATGCATTAATGAAGGTAATAGCCTGAAAGAGAGGCTCCTGCTGAGAGAAGGCCCAGCAGGCGGCAGCTCTTACATTAGCAAGGAAATCAGCAGAACCAAATGGGGAAGGAAGCTGTTGGACTGAAGAGCTTTTCTCTCTGGAAAGGAACAGAACTGGAAAGGAATTAAAATTGAAGATCCTAATATAACGACCTCCCCTAAGTCTTCCTTCTAGGGAAAGGAAACTGAAAGCAGAGTCAGAAATCTGGTGTTTGATGGAATAAAGCCAAGGACAAATCCTGCCTGAAACTTCCTCTGTGAATTCTTTCTAAAAGACAGCCCTTTAGAATAACCATCCATATTACTAATTTCTTTTTATCTACCCTGATCAATGCCTATCAACGACCCCCCTAATAATCTTGGACTTACCTAGATTCTAAGATCCAATGGGGACCAGGCCCCAAACACAGGAAAACCTCAACATCCATTTGGTTTTCCTTTTTCTATTTTTATTTATTTATTTTTGAGACAGGGTCTCATTATGTTGGGCAGGCTGGCCCTGAACTCCTGGGCTCACTCAAGCTATCCTCCTGCCTCAGCCTCTTAAATAGCTGGGGAGTACAAGCATGTGTCCATCACTGTGTTGGGCTGTATTTGGCTTTTGAAGTGGCTCCTGATGAATGTGGGGGAACCCTCCCCATGCCAGAGCTGATTTAAATTAGATGTGCTTTGCTTCAAGTCTCAGACTGGGTAAATCTAATGAGGAATAAGGGAACCTTGACTTTTGCCACATACACAACTACTTAGGATCAACAAGAGAAATTTTTAAAAGAAAGAAAAAATAGTTATTTCCAAATATTTAGATGACTATAGGTCGTTTACCTTGCAACCTGACATTTGGCCTGATGACTGAATATGAATTTTAGTGAAGATGCTTCCAGGCGGGGCAACTGCTTTACAAAATCAAGTGACAGAAACCTGTAAAACTGTTTCCTAAGCAGGATGGCCTCCCAACTAAAATGATTTTATTTCTTTAAATATTCATGATCTGGATATTAAACAACAAAATTCAACTCACACTTAAAATTCAACTCCTTATGTCCCTTACATGTTGATATTTTCCATCATACCAAAGAGGACTCTTGCCCAGGGTTATAAGAAGGTCATTCAAGCCACTTTATAGTTAAGAGCCACCTTAGAAATAAACTGTCTCTGGAGTCTACTGTTAATCTTGCTCTGTTTACGTACATATAACTTTTTGCGTTTCTTACAATTCTGAGCTTTAAATGGTTTCTTCTGGATGGTGACTTTGCTTCAACTCCAAATCTCTCTGAAGATATTGTGAATCCATCTCTCTTCTGTGTTTGCAACTCAAATGAAGACAAAGAACAAAGGTAGTAAAACATCTGGAACCCTGGAGACAGTACTCCTGGGTGGCACAATTTGGCTCAGATAAGAGCAATTTAATACATTATGCCAACCTAGGGAGTCACAGTGCCAGTCACTCAGAATGAGTCAACCCTTGGTAGGATATGTTTTAATGAAAACTTAGGCGGTGGCGCATGCCTGTTATCCCAGTGGCTCGGAAGGCGGAGGCAGAGGCAGGAGGATCATGAGCAGGAGGATCCTGAGTTAAGCAACCCTGTCTTAATACAAAATAGGGCTAGGGATGTGGCTCAGTGCCACTGAGTTTAATCCCCAGTAGTTAACCCCCCTCCCCCAAAAAAGCTTAATAGATGTCATTTAATGGCAATTTTCTTTTGAGAGCAAATTGGTCTCTGAAACGTGCTCTAAGAACATGAAAAAAAATGCCTAATAGTTCAGGAGAAAATAAAAGCCTGTGGTTACCTCAGAGGTACTGGTATGCATTTAGCAATTTCTTTTTTCTAGATGCATACAGAAACCAGGTCCACAAGACAATTGGTGGCCGTGGAGAAGCTCTCCCGGACTTGCTGTAAGATTTGCTGCTGGAAAAAAAAAAAAAATGAGTGGCATTCACCAATATAAAAATGTTTCTAATAGAATATAAAAATCTGTTAAGCAATTTTCCAGTACATTAGGCTGAAATTGCTTAAGATGGGTATTTCTGTAGTAATCAAGCATCACATAAATTGCAGTCTTATAATGCCCCTGTGTGGAAAGTGCTAGTACCATTTGGCCTACTTCATTATTTCTGTTCTCCTTCCACATATGACTTGGTATAGTCAAAGCCACCTCTCAATTATCTGGGGGCGCATTTCCTAACTTGAGTGTCATCCAAGTTTTCTTTCTAAGATAGTCATTTTTCAGCAGTTTGCGTGGGGCTCCAAATGAGAAAAACAGCCAATTTTCTTCATAACTAGGTTTAACAAAGCATGAGTGGTTTCAGAATCTTGGCTCTGAGAGAAAATGATGACACCACTTACAGAGAAGTATCAATACCTTCTTGCCTACTTTTCTGTTCCAACTGTAACTGATTTACAGAGATCAAAGACCAGTATTCCTAGGGAACATTAAAAATGTGGAAATGTTCTTGTTGAGAAGCTATTTTTGAAAATTACACAGTGTAGCTAAGAACTGTGGTATACACCTGTAATCCCAGTTACCAGGGAGGCTAAGGAGGAAGGATAACGTGTCTGAGGTCAGCCTGGGCAACTTAATAGGTCCTGTCTTAATTTTTTTTTTTTTTTAAATAAAAAGGGCTGGGAATGCATTTCAGTGCTAAAGAGCCCACGGATTTAATCCCTCATATTGCAGGGGAAAAAGTTAACAATTCAAAACAGTTATCAGCCATATCTGACATCTGCCCCGCCCTGTCGGCCCATACTTGGCTTGCATGTAACTTTTTATTTTTAAGCTAACCCTTTTAGCAATTCTTACTCTGAAGACAATCATTGAGTAACAACTTAGGAAAAGTTGGATTTAAGGTGGATTTGTGTAAGCCACCTAGTATAAAGGGAAACAATAACTGTAGTCAGGAATAAGTTCTAGAACATTCTAAAATGTAAGAATTCCATAGAATGATTTCCATTACTTTAATGGCACACATAATACCAGGAAAAAAAAAAAAACTGATAGTGCTCTAAGAACAGTAATACTGTAAGACCTACAGGGTGACATATGAAAGAAAGTTTTTGGAGCCAGGCAGCCTCAAGCCTGAATCCCAGCTCTACTGCACATTAGCTATACAACATGGCACGAGTCACACAGCCTCAGTCTGTTCCCTTGCCCATAAAGGACATTAGCCTAACTTCAAAAAGTTGTTTCAAGGATTAGAGTAAATGTAGAAAATCAGCTCATTACAAATTTCAAAAATGGCAGCTACTAATATTAATGAACACCTCACAGTCCATTTATGGGCCCACACTTAATAAGACTGCTGTTAAGTCCCAGGGAATGAGTTCAACTTGGTCTCAAGTTCTCTGTTGTTTTGATGTTATCAGAAACTTTCAGTAAGTCTAGTAATTCACCTATAAATGAGTTTTCTTTAGGTGGATCTCGGTCTGCACACGCTGCCTATTCTGTGAATCAGCTTCCTTTGAAGTGAACCTTGGTATTTTCTTCCCAATTTCACAAACCACAGGAAACACTCACTTTCTGTATAACACTGCCCTCTAGTGATTAGAAAAATACTTTTTCTACTTATCTGTTCAACTGCAACCCTTTGTTTAAAAAAATAATAAAGAAGTAAAATAAAAAATTAAAATCTGGTTACTTATCCACCAGCCCAAGAAAAACTTTTCCTGGAAATCTGGTGGAATCAACCAGTTACTCCTGATCTTATCCTCTTAATCAAAGCATCTAACTGTGTCAGAGTTACCATCTAAAACTACAAGAGCACAGGTGGAACACTTGTATGACCAGGGGCTATAATCCCAGTGATTTGGGAGGCACAGATAGGAGGATCACAAGTTCAAAGCAAGTCTTAGCAATTTAGCCACACTCTGTCTCAAAATAAAAAATAAAAAGGACTGGCTCAGTGGTAAAGCAACCCTGGAGTCAATCCACAGTATTGGGGGAAAAAAAGTGTGGGTTGTGTTGGGGATGATCATTTATTTAGTCCGCATTTCCCCTTCAATACCCCAAAACTCTTTGAAGAACTTGGCCTTCTTATACCTTTTATTTCTTCTATTTTTACAATAAAGCATGTATTTGTGTATCTACACAATGTGAACCCACATTTCCAAGGGAGGGAGAAAATAATCTGTCTGGATTGTTAAAATAGAAACTCTGCATTGAAGATTCAATTCCAAGATTAAAATACTAATACAGATTGACTGACAGCCTGAAAGATGGTCTGATGCCTGCTTAATTGTAGGCTACCCTGCTTTAAATGTAAGAAAACTCCTAACCTCACTCACAGAGGAAATGGACAATAGCAGCTACTGTTCACAGCTGAGCCTTATGCTTAACTGTGTATCTGCTGTTCCCAACAATAATCCTGCCCAGTACATGTTATCGCTATTTTCTAGATGAGACACAGTTTACATAATTGAATCCAAGTCTGCCCACAAGCCCTTCTCTGGTAACAGTGACCTGAAAGGCAAGTTCCACAGAAAGATGAGCAAGATGCCATCTTGGTGTAAATAACAAATTACAATAAACTGACCCAGAAACAGAGAGGAAGGTATCTAAGAATATTTACTGGTAAAGGGTAAGTGTTCAAAGATGAGCCAAGTTCCACTGCTGCCTTCAGCAAGCAAATGCTTGACAGTTATAAAAATCCAGTGAGAAACCTATTCTACTCAGATATAGGTAGGTGTTTATCAAACACAAATCTAACTAGGTTTAAATTCTGAAAGTACACCCTTCAGATAAGTAAGCCTCCTGATACTTTCTTTTTCAATTTAAAAAACTTCAACAGCTGGGTGCAGTGGCACAAACCTGTAATCCTAGCAACTCGGGAGACTGAGGCAGGAGGATCTCAAGTTCAAAGCCAGTCTCAGCAACTTAGTGAGGCCCTATGCAATTTAGCAAGATCCTGTCTCAAAAAATAAAAAACCAAAAGGGACGGGGATGTGGCTCAATGGTTAAAAACTCCAAAAAACAACTACAAAAAAATTCTTAACTGATGATGTAGTCATGCATCTACTCAGCTCTGGGTGAAGTTCAAATTGGAAAGTGGACACCCGCTTACCCCTCTAACTGCCCCCCTTCTCTAAGGTAGCTTCTGAGTCTCTTGGCCTTTCCTTGGTGATGAATAGCAAGTGGCCCATTTCCCCAGATGCTCTTAAATAACAATCACATTGGTGTTTGAACTTATAACTTAACACCTATAATTAGGATTTGGGAGCTTCTGGAACCATAACCTTAACCCAGCCTTCCATAACAGTCTTTTTACTTTCTATTACACAACATGACACGGCAATAAAAGCAACAAACCGCTTCAGCTTTTTCACTTCTGCAGAAGCTAAAACCACTTCTCCAATATATAAAGGAGCGGGAAAGTTAATTTCCTGGGAGAGAAATACACAGCCTGGTCCTGGCATTTTCGTACCCAAGAGAGCTGAGATGAGCCCATTGATCAAAACTCCATGTACAATTGTCCTTCCAAACTTAGTGTGTTTAGCGAAATCTTCATTTAAATGCAAAGGATTGACGTCTCCCGTTAATTCTGAGAAGGCAGCCACGTCCCTCTGTGTGAAGGCCCTGCTGAGTTCAGCCCGGTCCCCAACCCTCACGTGCACATGCTGCAGGAGCTGTCTGCTCCACGCTGGTTGACTCAGGCAGAATCTCCTTTGAAGTCCACCCCACGGAAGGCAATAGCTGGATACTACTGGGAACATCTTCAGCATCCTCATATTTCATCCATGGGAGCTTCTAGCCTGCTTCTGTTTTCAAACTATGCAGCCACCAAAAAGTACTTTTGAGAGCAGAGGAAAAGTTTCTGGAATTGAAGACTATTCAATCCAATACTAGTTCCCTACTGTTACCAGATAACGCGAGGAGAAATGGAGAGACCTACAAGAGAATGAAAAAGGTTAATGCGATACCAGGAAGAAAGTGCACTGCCACAGTGCAACACAGAAACACACCCAGTTTTATAGAATGAACAAAGCTGGGGTACTAGCATTTTAATTATCACCTGCAGCACTGGGAGGGAACCCAGGGCCTCACACATGCTAGGCAAGTGACTTGCTCTACCACTGAACTATACCCCAGCCTTTTTTATTTTTAATTTTTATTTTTTGGTAATCAGGGGCACTCAGTCACTAAGCCACATCCCCAGCCTATTTTGTATTTTATTTAGACACAGGGTCTTACTGAGTTGCTTAGGGCCTTGCTAAGTTGCTGAGGCTGGCTTTGAACTCACAATCCTCTCACCTCAGCCTCCCCAGCTGCTGGGATTACAGGCATGGGACACCACACCCAACTATTTTTTGAGTCAGGGACTCACTAAATTGACTAGGCTGGCCTTGAACTTGTGATCCTTTTGCCTCAGCTTCCTGAGTCACTGTCTGGCTGCACTAGCATTTTAAAGAACGACCTTAGTTAAACAAGTAGTCAAAAGCTCTGGATGCGTGTATCAATATAAAACACACTAGGTGTAAACATTATTTTAAAAGCCTTTATCACAAGTGTTCCAACTTTGATTCCCAAACATCTCCCATCCAATCTAAAATCTAAATACTCTGTCTCACATTTTCAGAAGCAATGAAGTCCCACATTTTGCCCTCCTTGCTAGCTGCTAGTAACTGCATGACCTTCATTCAAGCACAGAGTAAAAAAGCAGTTGGTTCACATTCAGTCTCACTTGGAATATGTGAAGGAACAACCTTTACCTGAATCACTCTGAAAGCACATCTTTTGCCTTTGTAGGATCCTAACAGGGTCAAAGAACTCCACAATTTGACTAGACCACTGCAAAAAAATCAAGAAAACAAATGAAGATTTGTCCTTGAATAGTATTTCTGTTTATTAGTACTTTTAAGTCCAGAAAAGTGGGTGGTTTTTATCAGAAAACCTTAATTTAAATGAAAACAAAAAAACAAACAATAACAAAACCTGGGAGTAAAAGCACAGTATATCATAGGCAGAGAATAAAATGAACCCAAGAATATTTCTAAAATATATATTACTGGCTGTCCAACCATGACCATCAATAGGGAATTCTAGCTGTAATCAAACCACGAGTTTTACTCTTTCTAGTGCATAAGCCCCTGATAGATGTTCAGATTCATCTCAGCTTACATTTCCAAAAGTTGCCCAGAGTTCATAATCACAAAACTCTTCTTGTTCTAGAAGCAAACATTTTTGTTGTCTCTCCATCAGTCTCTCTTCCCCGTTATTCTACAATGTTCCTGTTTATCGTACCTGCTACATATTCTCAGGATGGCTGACAAGGTCTTCTCTTCATAGGTCAGGACATCCACAGGTAAGGCAGCACCAACCTACATATGGAATAATGTATTAGCAAACTCTTATCAACATTACCCTTGAACTCATTAGTGAGGTCTAATGAGTTCCCGTCAATGCCTTGTTTTTGAGTTTCTCCTCCTTTGCTGATGCTGGTACTTTCGGGTGCCTGATTAATGCTTCCCTTGCCTGGACTGCTCCCACACCCCTTCATGTGGCTGATCCTCCTCACCCCTTGTTTGAATTGTTCCTTCCTCGATTCCCAAGCTCAGGCTCGATCTGCTTGCTCTGCTCTTTCCATATGGGATTTCCAACTTCCTCTCTCACAATTCTCATCTTGTCACTAATTGACAAATATTCCCATGTAAAAGAACATTAGTCCATGAGACAGAGGCCATGTCTATTTAGAGCTATGTTCCCAGAAACCAGGGTTTTATACCTGACACATAGAAAGTATACAGATCTTCTTTTTTTTTTTTTTTTTTTACTTTTTATTTAGATAAACTATACACTTGGAGGAGATTGCAAAGCAAGCTATATAGGAGGTTCCATGTACCCTACAGCTCCCTCAATGCCAATATCTTGCATTAGTATAATAGGTAATTAGGTAATCTGTATCAGTATAATTTGGAGTTTACTCAGATTTTGCCAATTATACATGTACTCATATTTGGACATGTATCTGTATTTATGTGTAGTTCTATATAATTTTACCACATTAAGTAGCTTCACATAACTACTGCCACAACCAAGATAAAGAACATGACTCCCTGACTCTACCCCTTTATATCACTCCTCCTCACCCCTGACCCCTGGCAACCTCTAATCTTCCTCTATATTATTTAATTATAATTGTTATTTCAAAAGTATTACAGACACAGACTCACACAGTAAGTAATCTTGGGGACTGGTTTTTTCATTCATCTGGTCATTGTGAATATCAACACTTCATTCCTTTTCATTGTTGAGTAAATTCCATGGTATGAATGTACTACAGCTTAACTATTTACCCACTGCAGTACACCTGGGGTGTTTTCAGTTTGGGGTTATTGCAAATGAAACTATAACGAACATTTGTGTATAGGTTGTTTTTTAAAAAAACATTTATTTTTTAGTTATAAGTGGATACAACGTCTTTATTTTATTTTTATGAGGTGCTGAGGATCAAACCTAGTGCTTCACGCATGCTAGGCAAGCGCTCTACCACTGAGCCACAACCCCAGCCAGCCCTGTGTCTGTGTATAGGTTTTTATGTAAATAGAAGACTTCTCTTCTCTGGGACAAATGCCCAAGAGTGCCGCTGCTGGGTCACATGGCAGGTACATGTTCAGTTTATGCTGCAGAGTCCCTGCACCATTTTACACTCCCACAAGCAACGTATGGTGACCCAACTTCTCCACATCCTTGCCAGTGTTTGATGTTATCACTATTTTTTTGTTTCATTCACTCTGTGCTGTATGTAGTAGTATCTGACTGAATCATGTAATTTCCCTAATATCCAATGCTATTGAACTTCTTTTCATGTATTTCTTTGCCAATTATACATCCTCTTTAGTGAAATGTCTGTATGTTTTTGTCCATTTTTTAGATGGACTGTTTGGTTTTGAGAATTCTTTATATATTTTAGACAGTCATGGTGGAGCACACCCATTATCCCAGCTACTTGGGAAGCCAAGGCAGGAGAACTGCAAATTCGAGGCCTGCTTTGGCAACCTAGCAATACCCTGTCTCAAAATAAAATGAAAAGAGCTAGAGAAGTAGCTCAATGGTAGAACATATGCACAGCAAGTACAGGGGCCTGGGTGCAGTCCTCAGTACTGCAAAAATAAAACAAAAAAAGAGGGTTCTTTTTATATATTTAGATATGAGTCTTTTGTCAGATTAGTTTACCAATATTATCCCCCAGTGTGTAACTGACCTTTTTAATCTCTTAACAGTCCTTTGCCAATTAAAGGTTGTTTTTTCAGGGGGTTCTAGGGATTGAACTCAGGAGCGCTTGACCACTGAGACATATCCCCAGCCCTACTCTGTATTTTATGTAGCGACAGGGTCTCACTGAGTTGCTTAGGGCCTCACTTTTGCTGAGGCTGACTCTGAATTCTTGATCCTCCTGCCTCAGTCTCCTGAGCTGCTGGAGTATAAGCATGCACCACTGTGCTTAGCCCAAGTAAAGGTTTTTAATCTCGATAAGGTACATGGCAGACTTTTTAAAATATATATATATATATATATTTTTTTTTTTTTTTCAGTTGGACACATCTCTTTATTTATTTACTCTTATGTGGTGCTGAGGATCGAACCAAGGGCCTCACACGTGCTAGGCGAGCACTCAACCACTGAGCCACAACCCCAGCCCCACATGGCAGATTTGACTTGACAGAATATATGAATCAGGAAATAATATCCTGAGACTCCTTCTTTGCTTTCCCTCTTAACTTCCAAAGCTCTCCTTTGTTCTCAAGTCAATGTCAGGACAAAGAGATGCAAAGTATTGGTCTGTGATAAGACAAGGAGCTGCGCCAGAATGCAAAGCAACAATGTCACTGAGCACATTTTGGTTTTTTTTTTTTTTTTTGGTACCAGGGATTGAACCCAGAGGCCCTTAATTACTGAGCCCTATCCCAAGCTCTTTTTTATATTTTAATTAGAGACAGGGTCTCCCAGAGTTCCTTAAGACCTCATTAAGTTGCTGAGGCTACTTTGAACTTGCAATTCTCCTGCTTTAGCCTCCCAAGCTGCAAATGTTCTACCCCTGAGCTGCACCCCTAGCCCTCACAATGTTTTATAAGGAGACCTTTTCACTAAATGAAGTGATGTGCTGGTTTCTAGTGTGAAGCCCCATCTCTTCAAGATGAGCAAAATAACACTTTGCAGGTTGCCAGCCTAGATCACAGTCTAAGTAACAATGAGCAAATATTTGTCTAACAAGTTTCTTGTCAAATACAAGGCATAGGCCTGGGGTTGTGGCTCAGTGGTGGAGCACCTGCCTCGCACACATGAGGCACTGGGTTCCAAACTTAGCACCACATAAAGTAAGATAAATAATATAAAGGTACTGTGTCCATCTACAACTAAAAAAATATTTAAAAAAAAACACAAGGCATTTTAGGACAAACCTACTGCAATTCATCATCTACAGTTTTCAAATGCTGTCAGAATTCTTTTCTTTTTTTCCCTTTTCTGTGCTAGGGGTCAAATCCAGGGCCTTGCACATACCTGGCAAGCACTCTACCTCTGAGCTATATCCCCATCCCCTACCCCTTTTCTAAATTTCTTACAAAGATCTTAATCTACCAAATAACTTCATACCTCCCCAAACAGGTCCTTTAGGGCAGAAATAAGCAGCTGTTTGAACTGTGCAGCATTCAGACCAACTCCATGATCTTGAAATTCCCTGAAAAAACACATTAAAAAGAAAAAAAGGGACATTAAATTATGTGCTATT